GGGGGGAGCTCAGATCCTTGACTGGCCCCTGAGCTGACCCCAAACCTACCTCTGACCAGAAATGATTCCACTTCTGATCTTTTCTATGCGACCCTGTCGCTGATGGAATCACATTTCCACCTCTGATCTTGCCCTGGACTTCTGACAATACTGTCCTCTCTATGATCTTCGACCTGACCCCAATGTAACTTTTGACTCCTCTCTAGCCTTGTCCCTGACTTTTGACACAAGGTGATTCTTGACCTGACCATCTCTGTAACCTCTGATTTCAATCTGACCCTGGGCTAGACTTCTGCTCACAGGAATATCCCCTTTCTGCCCCACCTGACCCTCCTTTTGTCCCTGACCTCTGACCTGAAGCTGACCCTGTCTGCCTCCTCACAGACCATGGACCCTGACTGTGACCATATGACTTTACCTATAACCCTTGACCCCATTTGACCCTGGGCCTGACTCTGCTTACCATATGAACCCTTCCCTGACCCTTTTTTTTCAACGTTTATTTATTTATTTATTTTTGGGACAGAGAGAGACAGAGCATGAACGGGGGAGGGGCAGAGAGAGAGGGAGACACAGAATCGGAAACAGGCTCCAGGCTCTGAGCCATCAGCCCAGAGCCCGACGCGGGGCTCGAACTCACGGACCGCGAGATCGTGACCTGGCTGAAGTCAGATGCTTCACCGACTGCGCCACCCAGGCGCCCCCTTCCCTGACCCTTGATGGTGCATCTTAACATCTGGCCCTGATCTGACCCCTGATTTGATCCCCTCCACAACCTATCACTGAAACCTGACCCTCATCACTGACCACATGTCACTTTCTCTGTCTGACCCCAAATGTGACCTCTCCCTGACGTCTGCAATGACCAATCCCCACCTTGGGCTCCAATTTGACTCAGTACCATACTGTGAGCTTCTCTCTGATCTCTCAGGTGACCCCATCTCCAGCCTCTGACCTTTATGCAACACTGTTTCTGAGAGAGAATCCCGACGTGACCCTGTTCCCGACTGCTGACATGATCTTGTCTTCACCTCTGACCCCAGTCTGACCCTGTGCTTGCCTTTGGTTCTGCCTCTGCTCTCACCCATCAGAACTGGACCAGACTTGAGGCAGCAGGTTACCTGGCGTGAACTTGGGCTGGGGGTGGTGGGAGACGCATTGGCACAGTCACAGGTACAGGCCGGCCCTCCTCAATGGCTCGCAGGATGGTGGGCAGGGGTTCCAGGCTGTCACGGGTTGCCTAATGAGGCATGGAGGGAGAATGGCAAGCAGCTCTTTAGGGCCGGAGGCCTCTTGCCCCCCTCCCTACCCCACACACACCCTGGGCTCTGGCTATACCTGGTCAAGTTCAGCAAAGATGGTACAGAGCTGGGCGTGCAGGACTGCCAGCTGGAGGGCTAGGTCACTGCTGCCCTGGTAACCACTGGGTGCTGCATCCACATCCACCATGGCCACTTGGTCCAGGAATTGTTGCATGGCTGGTCCATGATCCTCCAGGAAGCTATTCATGAAGCCCATGTAGGCCTCCTTCTCACCAAACCTGGGTCAAGGGTGGACGGGGTGGATCAAACTAGGCATCTGCCACCCCACTCCCCTGGCATACCGTCAGGGATGTCCCAACCAGGGCCACCCAGCCTCCCAGCTAAGGATGGGGCCAGCCTCCTAGCACCTACGGGGCACTGTTGGCGAGGTTCTGGATGACCTTGGCGATCAGTGTGAGGGCGCGGGCTGGGCCAGGTGCGGGGTGCTCTGGTGCCAGACCAAAGAGGCTGGGTGCCAGGATGGCAGGACACAGGAGCCGCAGGAAGAGAGAGGCACACACCAGTCGGGGGCCCAGTGCCTCAGAGCCACGGGCCTTGCATGCTTCTCTCCAGCCTGAAAACACAGTGCCCAGCTCTGCCGGGAACCAGCTGGGGCAGAAGAGGCAATGGTCAGAGGGGAAGTAGGCATAAAGGTCATATTCATGTAAAAGTCCTAAGGCCAGACGTCAGGAGTCACCTACATTGTGGGTTCCAGGATTGGAGACACTGGGGATAATAACACTTGGGGTCAGGATTTATGGTGTAGGTATTGTGGTGACCTCTGGAGTCAGTAATCTTGGAGGTGGGGATACAGGTTGACATGGAGATATAGACCATGAGCTTGGGATGTAGCTATAACTGGATAGGAGACTGGGGTGCCAGATTACACTATATAAAGTAGAATGGACTTGAGGTTACAGGGTAACCTAGGTTCAGAAATCACGGTATTGATGTCCCAAGTGACATGGGACTAGACGTATGGGTTCACCTACGGTCAGAATTCAAGGAATTGGAATGCCAGGTTTTTTGTGATCAGTTGCATGGGATTCGGGGATCAGGGTCATTTAAGGTCAAGGTCATGGGATTGGGGGGTTAGCATCACCTGGAATCAGAGGTCATGATTGAGGTCCTATGTTAACTGGGGTCAGGTGGCATGGAATTAGGGTATGGGGTCACCTGTGGCTAGAGGATAAGGAATTGGGTCCCAGGTTATTCGGGGTCAGTAACCCCAAGTTGACATGACATTGGAAATGGGTTGCCAGATTTAGCAAATACAAGTTCAGGACAAACAGTAAACTTGAATTTCAGATTAAAAAATGCGTATTTTTTAGGGGCGCCTGGGTGGCTCAGTCGGTTAAGCGGCCG